GTATTTTGTTGACCTTTGACTCCTCGCCAGCTGTTCTTTATCAGTCCGGGGCAGGGCATTGCCTCCATATTAGGTCAGCGAACCAGGGCTCCAGCAATTCACGGCTTACACGATTGTCATCGCTTACGAGGACTTTCGCCTCGCCTACCCTGGATATGGTGTCAGGTCGTGCCGAGGTGAATAAGAGAATGTAAGCGAGCGCAATCTTTGTCCATCACGGATTTCTGAAGGGGCTAGGGGGCAGCTATTAACCATTGGTTATTTGCCGCGAAGCTCCCTCGTCTCACTTTCGTTCACGCTTCTCGCTCCCTCCAAATCGAATACATTAGACGAGTAAACACAATTTTTACCCGTTTGAAACTTAATATTTTGATCTCATCTTGTTTGTAAAGAAACTTGTCTGGTGGTATCCTTAGACCATGAGGAGGAGTCAACCATGACAGCTATGTGAAATTGGTAACCGGAAACCGTGTCTGGTTAAGAAATTTCGAATTCCTACAGTATGCTGATATTGGGTAATCTGCATAGCTTCCATTGCTTCCCTTATGCTTTCTTTTCACGGCCGGGTTGTTGTGTTTACCGTGATCTTGCGTTTATTTGCCCTGAAGTCAGAAGGAGGTCCGCAGAAGTTGTCGCGGGTTGCCCCTGATCAGATCATCAAAGAGGGACTTAGGAGGAATGAAACTGAGGTCGTGTTGAACGTAATAACATATATCAGACCAAACCACTACTGTTTAGAGAAAGCCATATACTTCCTGGGTGGCCTATTAGTCGTAGAAACTGTTCTTGGGTTTCTTTACGGATTGGTTGTTGCATTTTCCATCTGCGTGTCATTCCTTCATCATAAATACAGCCGCCATCATTATTGCTTAACGGTTCTGTCTGCTTTTTATAATCCTCAAGTGTCACATTTTCTCACTCTGACTGGTTTATTTATATATTCCTAGTATACATCCCGGTGATATTTATCCCTACACACGGAAACCGCTTTTCCTCATCGTGGACAGTAACAACAGCAGTGGTTTCAAGGTGAGCCTCGGGTGCAAGCCCAACTACTAACCCCTCTCTCTCGCTCCTTTTTAAGTCCTTACTGCCGGTATCTTGCTTACTGGCTATCGGTATCGTCAGTAGGACTTTACGACAACAACCTTCACTGTCAAGACCGATGATAATTCTGTCTCCTGCAGGTTCTTCTGTCAAATCTCTTTTTGCTAATGAGGTAGCGAGAGAGTGAGAGAATAAACAAGCAGGTTTTCGGGTCGTGACGTGTCATCACTGAATAATTTTAACTCGACTTCTATCCAGTCAGAAGTTCTAGCCTTCGAACCGCGGGCATGCGCTCGGTTGTTTCCAAGGTGACCTGCGGGAGCGGCCACTGCATGACCTGGCGATTGCACGAGGAAATTTATTGAAAGTCAATGAGCTTGTCTCCCTCCTCTTCAAACATCATCTCTTCCAGAAGTCTGAACGCCACGAGCCCATGGCTCATTCGCAGAACGTTCGATTAAATGACTGAAAACCCTGCGTTCCCAGCCCTCCTACTGCAAACCCGGGGTCAGGCATGGCATTACCGACAAAGAGAAAGGATAGTGCTGTGGTTATATCATCAGCAGGCTCGCAGCATCTGGAATCCGAACCCGGGGTCTTTGGCCATTGAGTCTAAAGCTCTACCATTGAGCAATGGGCCCCGTCGGTTTTGATGCGTATATTAACTATGGTAGGGTGTTCAGCCCGTCGTGCTATGGGGCTCGATCTAAAGCATTCAACAATAAGATTCCTTACTTGCTGTGTTCGAACTGTCCGTATTTCTAAAAAAGAGCGTGCTGTCATACGTCGTCTCATAAAGATATTACCAGCCCACCCCCATATTAGCTCATTTTTAGGGCGCCCTTGCCACACTTCCTTTCTCATCCATCACGGGTTGCCTTTTCTCTCAATTCTTTCCAGAATTTTCAAAGTCTTTTCGGCCAACCCGTGGTCACCCTGCTCTCACCCGAGACTGTGCCAACTCGGATTGAGGATCAACGAGAGCGGGGTAACCTCTTCACTCTCTTCCTCTACTGCCCTCTGACCGCCTACTGCTACGTCTGTGGGCTCACCTCCATCAGTCTAAAGACCTGGGAGCGCGGCCAGTCAATTATTGACACCTTCCTGAGCGAAAGCAGTCGGATTCTGCTGCGCTCAAGGAGTCTACGTAAGTTTGCCAAGCGGTTATGTTACTGCCATTGTGCCTTTTGCAACTCCATTCTTGATTGGTCAGTGTTGTTGGATGAAGAGTCCCCGCCGGAATCCGGATTAGTTGTAGTTGGAAGACGGAGTAAAATCGCAACCTCAACTGGCGTGGGCCAAAGCTCTACGGGGAGTGAGTTTGGTGCTTGGTCGGGAACTGCAGGCGAAAAGCTGCTGACAGTCATGTGGAGAGACACCGTAATCGGGACAGTTGTCGGATGTGGACGGGTCGAGCCGGTGTTGGTACTGGCGAAGGAGCATGGAGTAGCCACTGCGTAGTTGAGTCAAAGTACAGCGAGTGATCCTCGGGAGTTGTTGTTCCAAGGCCGCAATCGGAGGTGGATAGCCACCCAAAGGACCGTGGAAAGGTAGCTTGGTTTTTCGTTGACAGTGGCTCTCTGGTGAAGACGTTGGAAGCCTGTCATGATGGCAGAGCCAGCGGGTAGATCCGAGGGACACTAGGCGACAGATTCCTTGTGGAGAGTTCTAATAGACGGCCGAACGTTGATGGCCGGGTGACGATTGAACTCCTTCGGGTCGCATGGAAACTCACTAATTGAAAACTAGGATTGCTAATTGTCTTACTGACTTAGTATTCACCTTTCGGTCAACTTATAGTGTGATAATACCGTAATTTCCATGTGTAGAGTTTTTAACTTTTGCCTCCCTGTTCTGCTATCTAAAAACTTGATTCTAATAGTATGTTATTCAAAAAAAGGATTGAGAAGCATTCGTGCAAGCATTCTTGTAGACGCATCTATTTTGAGCTCATTAATTGGTGTATTCACCCCCCGGCGTTAGTTCTGCATTGGAATTTGAAGCATGCGGTCCTGGCGTGGGCTGCCGACTTTTCTACCACGCTTTGAACACGGTTATTCGAGTTTCTTTTGCTGGGACTTCCGTCCCGTGAACGGACACAAAGTATTCAGTACCAGGAGTCGGGTGACTACACCTTGCGGCTCTTTCGCAACCACTTTTAGGCGCATTCTGACTGTATATCAGGAGGCCGCATCTCACACGAAGATTGCCAGGAAGGTTACGATGTATCCGGCGCGGAGGAGCGTTCATCGGCTTCCTGGGAGACTGACAACTGCTTCTCTTATTGTGCCCTTATGTGACAAACCAGCGTGGAGCAGGCTCTTAGCATTTTTGCACATACTCATTTCGCCCTCCCTATTAAAAACGGAGTCCAAAAAAACTAGATGCTAATAATAACCTACCAGCTATCCTTTTGAATTTCGGTATAAATATCCAGGTCAGAGGAATCGTAATGCGAACTTTCGTTTTAGATTAGATCTTAGTAAATATAAGAGCTTAGTAACTGGTCATGGCAAAAAAACGTAGTCACTTCTGAGCAATAGCGTGTCTTTTCTCTAGTAACACAACTAGCCAAAAATACCCGTTATGATCTCCGTCAAACGACGTTTGCGCTACACCATAGAAAGGACGTACAATACAGTTAAACTCTTTTACGCCAGTCCTAGTAAAAGCCTTCAAATTAGCCGGTCAAATGGTGGCTTGCCGTTGCGTGCCACTCCAAATTGTGTGTATGTGCACTTGTGGATGCAAGTACATTGGGCAAACGCATGGCCAAGTGACAGTCAGGACTGCTGAGTATTCGCGTAACGGACTTTTTCAAACGAGGAAATAGAATACGAATGTCCTGAATTACGAAACACCTGCTTAACAGCAATCACTCCTCAATTCAGTTTCCCGCGTACTTATTTGGACACGAACAACTCGGGACCTGCGCCACTTGGAAGCAGCCTGTATGCTGCGAGAACAACCTGACCTATGCGAGCAGCTAGACCATGTGGTCAGTCTCTGATAGTCTGGTAATTTCGTGCCTCGATTTACCCTTGGACTGTGGTTTGTGTTAACTTCGTGGCCCCTTTTTTCTTGCCGATGTATGGCGATGTAGGGGTACTCTCTTTCATTTCATCATTGTATGCAGTGAACTATGACCCTTGATCGGTCTGTGTTCTGGCCTAATTCACTTGCCTCACCCCCCCTCTCTTACCTTTTGCAGATCCCTCCTTCACCCACTTCCTCGGAGTGGACTTTCTACGCGTCTTCATCCTCCGCTACTGTTTCTGCAGCATGGTACTCCAGATGCATCGAGACTTCCGCGGTCCCTCCTTCTACCCCGCCTGTTATCCCCCTCTGCCAGAGTCGGAACTGATGGAGAGCCACCTGCTGCAGAAACTCTTCTTCGATCTGGCCACCCTCTTCGACTCTGTGTCCCTTTTTGCTACAGCGAGTAAGTCCAGCGCGCACGCCCTCCCGCGGTCGCTATAACTAACTGATGATTTACCTTGAAGCACATCAGACATGTCTGGCAGTCCGTTCATCAGCCATTGGCACTGAGAGTGTAGTCGTAAGCGGATAATTTTCCAGGACCAGCTGATAACTACCTCTTAAAGAAATTGGTGTAATGTTAGCCAAAAGCCGACCTATCACCGTCTAATTACGCTTTGTGTGAGTCCCCAAGGAAAAGCACAACAAGAAGAGCCCGAAAGGAGAAGTCTTTTAGCGTACTTAATGCAGCATATTTAAGGCAAGCAAACGCGTGTCCAGCCATGTCCGTCGGACCAATCAGATACTGTCCTCGAGCGAGTAGCGATTGGATTGGCTTATGACTCATCCAGCTGGCTTGCAAGAGCCCTAACCTGGCCGCGGTTTTTAATTTTTAAATTATTGACTGACTGCCACTTTACGTGCGCAGCGTGTAGGCGGATCGATAGCCTGGCGTAGGAGCGATTCGATACGGCTGCCTGCTCGCGCATCGGTTAGGGTGACTCCTAACAGAAGTGGGTTGATGTAGAAAATTTAATAAAACATTTTTTTTCTGAAAAGAAATGATTTTTCCCCTCCTCCACACCCATGTTAATCCTAAATAAGGCGGTGTAGGTAAAGCAGACAGCGGTCGGCTCATTGAAGCCACCCTCGAATGGATGAATGCTGCTTTTCCAACTGCATCTCCTTATCAGCGGGGAAGGGGGGGAGGAGGATGACCAGTACCGCACTAGAGCTGACAGTTTCTCTATTCTCGCGACCGCGAAACGCAGCGTACTTGTCAATCTGGTAATTAAGAGTCTTGTCATCACTTTCATTGATGCGTAAAAGTCACCCGTGTTTGACATTAGGACGTTATAGTTTGTGATTCATAGTGTCAGCGATTCTAGCGTGACAATCATTTATCAGGGCCTCGGGAAGAGGCAGGGCATGGTGCTGGATATTCGAAAATGCCACCGAACGTTAACTGTAGGTGCGCGATCACTGGAACAGTAGGTTTATTTGTCTGATCTTTCGGGCTCTTGCGGTAGTCCATCATCAGAGATTGTGAGTGCACCAACAAGTCAGCATTTTTTGTAGTCGAACTATAGAGGGGGAGGGGGTGGACTAGTGCGGTGACTGGGTTGATTTCGCGCTTCCTAGCTCACAGTGGTCTCTCGGCGTGATGGCGTTTTACGTCCCCGGCTGTCTCAGTGAGTCCGCCCTGACCTTTTTTATACAAGAACTTGTCACTCGTCTATTCGCCCCCATTCATTTTGTAAATAAACAGTTCGAATGTTAGTTGGGACGCCAGTTTCGTTGTATTTCTTTCTCGAGTGCTTGATTAGGCCTCGTGGCTTTTATAAGTTTATTAATATTGTAACTTACCAGACAGTGCTTCGCCGGTATTCTGCGGCTGCTTGACACAGCCGCGAGGGGTCCGGCTCATCAGTAGGTCCCCAGCCTTCCCTGTTCGCTTTCTGGTTGATATACCGGTTTTGAAAGTACAGCAGCATGGTAGCATGTGTATAGTACCCGGTGGTTGACAGGTTTCAGTCCAAATAATCTCGGTCTATGTCTATAGCCCTTAAAGATATTGATGTATACTGCGAACAGAAATTAATTTCTAAG